TTACTCACCAACAAGGTAGCAGTTTGGAGCTAGAGTGTTGAATAAGTTTATGTATTTTGAGCTGTGCTACATATTTTGGAAAAGACTGTCTTTAACATATAATAATTATATTCCTCAATCATATATATATATATATATATATATATATATATATATATATATATATATATATATATATTTGCTTTGCTTAACATTCAGAGTATTTGAGATGAGCAAAATACATCAAGGTACGTTTTTTAATTGCTGCTTTTGAGCTTGAAATAATACCTAATTTTTTCGGCTAATCATCAACTCTGAATATAAAATCACAAAACGTAAAAATTGAGCTGCAACAAATTTATTAGTGAAAACGAAAAGATTTGAGGAACAGTTGGTAATAAAAATTGAAAATATACAACAATTTAATTTTTTATTATTTACTTCCCCTACCAGATCATTCAGATATATAATTACTAAAACGTCAACTTTTCGTTTTCCATATCCGTAAAAGTTGGTCTATATTGTAAACATTAGCTACTTTTTCATTAAAACGTAGAGTAATGTGCTCACTCTAATAATAATTTTCTATAGGACTCACAAGCGGGAGGTATTCGTAGATTTGATTAGACTAGGCTAGACTCCTTGAAAAAAAGTTTTGCTAATTTGCTAAATAATCTTCAGAAGGAATAAGACTTACGTTAGGGTTACTATATACTAGAATGCCGTTAGATATGAGAAGGGTTGATTCGACAATATCCAAAAAATAATAAAACCCGAACCTAACAAAAGTATTTTAGAATTTGCTTTCAATTTCCGTACTATCGCCTCTGGAACATATTTACAGCTGTTAGCCACTTTTTTTAATGCATTAGTTAGATTCTTGATTCAACTAAGAAGAATCGAAAGAAGCACAATGCACAGTTTTTATTTCCGCTTTTGCGTTTTTGCATTCGATACGTAGTAATAGAATCTTTTTGAGCTAAATATGTATTTATTCATGAAAGGTTTTGGAAAAGCTGCATTTCTTACAAGATCCGTAGATGTATCAATATATTTCTAACAAAAAATGTGCAGTTCGTTTCTGAAATACAATATGCACTTGTGTAACTTTAAGAACTTATCTAGAGTAAAGAAAGACAAATACGAGTAAAAAGAACCTGAAAATGTACACCACCGTATTGCTAATCGTAAATTAAATAAATAAATATATAGAAAAGATCATAATCCCTCCCTATTTATTCACATTTCCCCTAGATCCAACTCTGTCCACAGTGTTGTTTTTAGATACGTGTCTATTTCACACGACGTAGATATCCAAAAAGTTTTAATTTTAGATATTGTGGGAGTTGTCATACAGTTAGCGCTACTCGAAAAAAATGGCATGCGCGAAGCTGAGTCATTTTTAAATATCTTTTCCAAAAGTTGCATATTTCAATCGTGAATTCTCTCGTCATGAATATCGTATAATTTTATTACTTTTCGAGAAGTGACTTCTGATATCTTATGACCATAGGTGAACGATACAATAAAAAGTGTAAGAACTTGAGTATACAGTGATGGATTCAAAAGGGGAAGATGGAGGAAGATTTTCCCAAAAGCTATGCAGCTTATCTCGTTGAATAATCTTTCTAGTGTGTATGATGAATGATATAGAATTACTTGCAGTAATAGAATAACGGAGGCTCAATGGCAATACTGACTTTCCATAAAGGAAAGTACTTAAAAAAATAATACGAAATAATATACCCTTGCTGAGATACAGGGTGTGGTATATTTCTACCTATTGTCACTGATTGAGGATAAAACAATATGTTCAAAAAAAATTTTTTCAATGGCGTGGTCTGACAAAACATTTTAGAGAAATGGACCATTCGAAAATATATACACAGCTTTAGGAATACTATATTTTAACGTAAAAATAACAGTTACAAAATCCAAGATGGCGGCTGGATTCCATTTAGTATTATTTTTTAAATAGAATAAGAGGTCGTGTGATACCCTATTGCAAGTATGATTATGAGCACTTCATAACCCCATACCACATTTCAAAGTGGTGGACTGGTAAACTGTCAACGTTAAGCGTTTTTGTTCATTGAATCGCTTATAACTCAACAACTAATCAACAAAACTTTATAGAATGTAATTTCAACCTTCTCCTTTTTGTGCGATAAGATATGAGACGTTTAATTTAAAAAAAAATTGTTCCATATTTTATTACAGATTCGGATGGACCCTTCCAAGAGAAGAAAATTGGTATAACATACTGTATGTAGCGTTTCGATGAGTTACAAGCGACTTATGCACAAAAATGGCCAGCTTTGACAGCCTGTCAGTTCGCCATTTCCGAAGGTGGCGATTTCATATTCTAGAGTTACAAAGTTGTCATATAGAGCTTCAAAATTATGTATCACACGACCTCCCCGTTCCTTTAAAATAGATGTTCCAAGATGGCGCTCAGCCGCCATCCTGAAATGATACGCTAGAATATAGTATCCATACACGCTAGAATATAGTATCCATACATCAATTTCATTGCTACGAATTTTAGGTTGCTAACTTGAAGATAGGTAGGATGGGAGGACCTTTAGAAAAGCTCTGCACATCACACCAATCTTATTCAATCTTAGGCAGCAGCGGTGGCCACAGTGGTAGACTCTTCGGTCTCCTAATCAGTCGCCGTGCACTGCGCGGGTTCGAATCCCGTCCCAAGAGAAATTTTTCTCTTGGCTATGGATGTTGCGATTGTCCGTAGGTGGTAGATGATCTCTGATTGTCGAACGCGGAGGTATCACCCGGCGGATCTCGTAGGCGAGGCCAGAATGTGTGCATGTTGCATGCATACTTTTCTCTTCGCCAGTGTCAATGTAGCGTCCCCCCTTTCCTCTGTATCCCCCTATAACCACGCGGTACCCCATGGGTGTTTAGGCCTTAGGCTTTCGTGGTAGTTGGAGTATGAAAAAATTCTAAAATGCCATAGATAAATAAAAAATATAAAAAATAAATAATATTTTGCTTTCATCTTCGGGTTCATTTTAGCTATAAGCTTATTTTGGATGTATTGCCTATGTTATTGAACTACGTATATAAAGTTTTTAGTTGATGTCTTTACACAGGGTGTTCCATTAGGAGAGGGTTAAATAGTAATAAACCCTTAGTAAAATTTGGTATTTGTTGCTACTCATGAGGTGCAGACGTATCGCCGAGAATTTAGATTAAAGCGAAAAAGTCGAGACCAAGTCCTCCAAAGGAAATATTTAATTTTAAAACAATCTATACTGTTGAAGAATGAAGGCTTTCACGGCTAGTTCTAATCTCATTTAGGTTTTTTGGCCTGTTGAACCGGGGTCGGGTTGGATTTCTTCCAGAGCTTTCATCTATATCTACGGTAGCCATCTTCAGTGGCGCTGTCGCTCAGGGCGAAGTGCTCGGCTTGGCGCGTCGACTGAAACTGGAACAGTTTAGCTCTCGGCGCCACTAAAGATGGCTACCGCAGATGTAGCTGAAAGCTCTGGAGAAAATCCAACCCAGCCCCGGCTCAACAGCCCCAAAAACCTAAATGAGAGTCTATAGTGTAGTACTTGGTAACGAATTTCCAAGATAAGTTTTAAACCTTGTATTTGGACAACGAAGAATTATCGTACCTATGCTTGAATGGATTTCTTTCTCTCAGAATCAATCAGAGATATGAAAGTAGTTGATCAAAAAAGTTAGTAGAAAATGTTTTCTTCTCCTTACATAAGGGAAGGAGTATACCTTTCACTTCCCGCTACTGGCGAGGAAGTATTGCAATCGCGAATCGAATATGAGATATGTTTCTTGGATATTGCATGACATGTACATCATGAAAAACCATGTCACTCATTAATTGTCGGTCTGTCCGCTAATGCTTAGCCCCTCTATAACTTGTAAAGTTCCGCTCGGATTTTGATTAAATATTACTACAGGGTTACTACTGTAGCAAGGACGAAAAAAACGTTATGATTTTTGAAAATCGGTCCCATGGCGACACAGGTAGGGGCAATAACAAGTGAAAACAAAAACTTCTGCAGCTTCTTTGACGTTTCAAATTATTTTTGGAATTTTTTTTGTAGGTGTTGAAAATTTTGGGTTCGGGTGTAATGGGCTGGGGAAGAGTATATCTCAATTTTTTTGTATATTGCTGCGAAGCTGGGAGTCGCTACTTTTGTACTTTCGGTAGTTATATACAGGGTGTCCCAGGAATAACATGTCAGAGTGACACGGGAGGGAGATTGGCTACATATTAATCAGATAAAATCAACATGATCTTACTAAAAGTTTTGTTTTTTAGTTTTCGAGATATTGCCACTTTTAAGCTTTTTCAAAAAAATCCTTCTTTTTGCTTCTTTTCTGCTTGCTACGGCTATAGGGAACTTCTGACTTATATCTTTTTCCTGGGCTACCATTAATAGATGGTTGAGATGCAGGTTGTGTATTGTGTCCGTTGAAAATCTGTGGTGAAAATAATAATAATAATGATAATACTAAACATTTATTTCAGGCAATATTCACATCACAAGATGTTAATTTAATTTTCATTTAGTTGATTTAAGACGTTAATAACTATTCCTAATTCTTTATTTGAATGTTGTAAAAATCAATGGAAACAAAAAAATTCAACATAAAGTTCATTATTTTTATGCCTGCATACAATAATGAATAAAACAGGATAATGGATATCTATTTTAAGCATTTGCTAAGATAAAAAGCTATTACTACACAACTACAAAGTTGTGATTTGGACACAAAAGACAGCTGCCTTTTTGTATTTTTTCAAAGTCAAAAGTTTGAATTATTCAGTTTTTAGTAAAAAGAATCTACAAAAGTTATTCTATTGTTGAAAGAGCATTAAATAACTAGTTTTCAAGGTCATTTACTGGTTCAGTCTGGTACATTTTTCCACAGTAATTAGTCAAACTTTAGTAAAAGTGTTCGCATTGAATCCAAATGTAATAATTTAGTTTTTTTTTGCATACCGTGCTAGTTTTCAATGAAATGAAACTCGGTTGTACAAAAAAATTATAAATTGTAGCCCAGGAAAAAAATCATAAATCAGAGGTTATTTATAGCCATAACGGGCATTTAGCAAAAAGTAGTGATTTTTAAAACAAAAATTAAAAGTGTGCAATATCTCGAAAACTAGGAAACTTTTACTAAGGTCACGTTGATTTTATCTGATTGATCCGAAGCGAATCTACCTCCCATGTCACTCTGGCTTGTTATTTCTGGGACACCCTGTATATTATTCGGTTTCGTAAATAAAACAACACCCTGTATCTCGTTAAGGGATTAGTATTATGTTTGGAAGCAATTTTGGATAAAACGTTTTTGGATCATTTTGTATACAGTTTCTCCTGTATTCACACAAATAACCCCAAAGAATCCTTACGGAAAATGACTCATCTATTTTTAAAAAAATTGGTGAACTCAGCTCATCAAATACACTGTCCAGAACAAAAAAAGCGACAAAAAAATACATCCATCAAAGACTCTTCGAGACATTTTCTATTATAAGAGCATAGGCTCGAAATTTTGATTCAGAACAGCCCAGGAATATTACACTTTGCCCGTCAGAAAAGTGTCTCATTTCTGTAATATCCTGAACTTATATGACCTCGCTAATAGTAATAATAAATGAGAAACGCACGGAGAGTGATATGTCTAGAAAGACGCCTCGACGAGATAGGTACCATCCATTCCAGCACCAGTTTGGTTTGTTTGAGCGGCGCTTGCGGCAGGCATGTACTTGCCACAGGTTTGCTGGTACCTCCTTGGGCAACACCTGCCACAGCAGGATTGGAAAAGTCCTATTGAAACGGCAGAATGAGCGGGGCTTGCCATCGGGGAGGGAGAACCTGGTCTCTTCGGGTGGCCATTGTAGGGTACCTGGAACAAAAAAGATTTTACGTTAGCCTTTCTCAAAGTTTGACGAAAGGTACACCAAAGCCAATTTCACTTCAATGCATATTATTGCAATTCAGGAAAAACCGATATCTATATGTATATCGGATCAAAATTTTAAACATAATGATCCAGATTAACCATAGCAAAATTCAAGTTTCTGCAATTTATCTTCCACCAAGTTCAGAACCTCACGAGTTATTGAAGAATGTCGACAATGAACATGTTTACTTAATATCCAGTGATTTTTCTGTGTTGGTTCCATTTCTTTCATTGTTGTTTCATTGCATTATGATACCTGGAATTTGCAGACGCGCAAATTTCACTCAACTTTTCGAGTTTGAGAGGCGTCGGATAATCAGATTACGTGAAGAAATCGCTAATCGGGTGAATCGAGACGAAGCTACTGTAATCAGATGTTCTCGAGCGTGGTTCCAAGAAGGCCGAAATCGACGAGTTAGAGGTATTGGACTTCAAAGACAGACTACAGAGCGACAGTATCGTTATTTGAGACAACTGGCACTTAGAGATCGATATTCCACAACAGGGGCAGCTGCAAACCAGTGGTTTGATGCTACCGGAAGCGCAATAGTAATGAGGACAGATTATTTATCGTCTAATAAGGTCTTATGGACTGTTTTCATACCGTCCCCATCTTGTACTAGCTCTGACCCCACAGCATCGTCGGTAACGATTGGTATGAAGTAGGGAGTGACTCGGATGGAATATGGAATGGAGCTCATTCACGTTTAACCATGAGTCCAGATTCTATTTTAATGCACATGATGGTTGAGCAAGAGTAAGGAGGAGACGTGGTGAAAGACGGAACGTCCCATATTCCATCGAACGGCACATTCATCGCACTGTGGGTGTTATAATATGGACTGCCATTACTTACGGAAGCAGCTCACGATTAGTCTTCATTCGCGGTAGCATGATTGCCCAGCGCTATATCCACGAAGTTTTACAACCACATCTGCTTCCCTTTTTGGAAACATTGCAAGATACACTTTTCCAGCAGGACAATGCACGACCTCATATCGAACTGGTTAGTTTAGACTTTTTAGAAGCATTGGGAATGAATCCGCTTCAGTGGCCTCTCCAATCTCTAGACCTTTCACCCATCGAACATGTATGGGGCATGTTGGGAAGAACATTGCAAAATTTATTGCACCCTGGGATACAATACACCAAGAAGACATCATCACCTAATCCAAAGGTGCACACACTATTTTGCGAAATTTCGAGTTAAAATCTTAATCACTTTTTATTTATGAATAGATCTAAAACTTGTAAAAGTATGCTCAAAATTACAGAACTCCTCTGTGTTGCATATTCTACGTCATTTGGTATATTATCTTGGGAGATGTTGATATAAATATTGTGGCGGATGATCCCATTACAAATGAATACTTGAATATCCTAGCAAGTAGCGGATTTTTGACATATATAAATGAACCTACAAGATCTAAAATGAACTTTCTGGTGAAAGGAGTTCATAATGTGACGAACATAAGTAGTCAATAATGTATCCTCCCCATAAGCCCATGCCCATGTTTATCTTTTAGCACATTCCCGGCATGTCAAAGCATTCAAACAAAATTTGACATGTATACAGGGTGTACTTTTTTATTTTATTTAAGTAGGTATTGCAAACAAATGCTTGATAAGATTATGTGATTACTGGTAGATGCATCTTGCACATTAAATAATGATACGATGGGGTAAAATTCTATAAAATGATACTTAATCTAGTGAGATACAAAATAAAGAATACATTTTTAAAATAATTTTTATTTTCTTCACAATAGGTGTTCATAAAGCTGCCATTATTTTATAAACATAAATATGACCTTCTAACAGTATAATTCAAAACATCACGTAACGTTTCTCGTGTAATCATACTAAATACTTCCATTACACATACTCATAACTGCTGCTCAGTCTCGAGAGTATACTGATAAACTTGGTCTTTAATAAAACACGAAACAAAAGGAGTGAAATCTGGGGAACGCTCTGACAATTACACTTTACTGGAGGTTTCAATCTACCTTCGGGAAATCGCTGAGAAAGATACTCTCGAACTTGCCTAGAGTTATTTGCAAGAGCACCGTCTTGAAACCAACAGCTATTAATCTGTGCCAAAGGTAAATTATATACACTATAGGCAGCAGCAGTCGCCGCAGTGGTAGACGCTTCGTCTCCTGATCAGTCGCCGTGCGCTGCGCGGGTTCGAATCTTGTCCCAGGAGAAATTTTTCTCTTAGCTATGGATGTTGTGATTATCCGTAGGTAGCAGACGGTCTCTGACTGTCGAACGCTGAGGTACCACCTGGCGGATCTCGTAGACGGGGCCAGAATGTGCGCATGTTGCAGGCACACGTGTTCCCTCGCCAGAGTCCGTGTGGCGTCCCCCCAATCCCCTATAGCCCCACGGTACCCCATGGGTGTTTAGACCCTAGGCATTCGTGGTAGCTGGAGTATAAAAAAAATCCAAGCAGTCCAAAACGTTCTTGATGTCTGGATTCTTTGTTAGCCCGCAGATTTTCTTGAGCCCAGTAATGAGTGTTGCGGCGATTAAGAATACCATTATTAGTGATCACAGTCTCGTAGAACCGTATTATTTTTGAAGTGAAATTATTACCTACACACGTTCCTGTGTACCACTGGTCTGAGTCCTTGGCAAATTCTGAATTTATAGGGGTGGCATCCAGGTTTACTCTAAATAAATTGGGCAGGAGAATTTGGCTACTCCAACACTTAGTTGATATCTCAGAGTTCTCAGCAACTGCTTGTGAAACATTATCCTGAGTTTCCTCTAAAGATTTTTTTCGAGACATAACATGCTTTTTGAATTAAATTTCGAGCCAGCTCTAAGAAAATGGACTTACTTGGCTACTTCTTTACTCTATTTCTGCAGTATTTTTTGTATTTTTGTAGCATAAAATGTAGCACGTCAGCATGTCGAACTTTTCTTCATTGCTAAAATGACCACGTGGCATCTTTGACGATGATAAAGCAATATTAACAATGCACAATAATAACAATACCCGTAGCAGGCTCTATTTCATTTTCACCCTATGGGCAAACGGGGCATGTGTCTGGGGCTTGATGGCGGCCTTCCAAATACCCAAAAATGCCTCCCATGTGCGAAAGAACCCTTACAAGACTGAAAATTACCCTGAACAGGGTACAGTAGTGCAGGCAGTAAAAAGGGGAGCTACAAAATATACTGAGTGACAAAAAAAGGTAAACACCTACGTATGTTTATTAGAATTCAAGAATTTTTTACATATCGATTTATCTTGCCAAGAACAACAAGTGATAAAACGGTCAGATTTTTCTGTTAAGTTTTTGTGGCCTATCGATGAGAGAAGTTTCTTGGAGGACCAATAGATCCTTACGCACTATACTGCAGTGTGAACGAGCGTGGCTCTGAGAGATTCAGTAGTAATCGAGCCATCGCTAATCAGTGGTTTGAAGTGCAGGAAGGATGGTTGGTATGCGTACTGTATATCGCCGAATACGACAATTTGCCCTGTTTTCTTATCGACCACATTTGGTGCTACCCCTCACAGCTGAACATCGGCGTAACCGTTTGCTCTGGCCTAGAGAAATTGTTCTATGGGACGGGGAATGGAATCAGGTGGTCTTAAGTGACGAATCCCGCTTCTGTCTGGAGATGCACGATAGTCGGGCAAGAGTGAGAAAGCGACGTAGTGAAAGACGTGACCCACAATTTGACAGAGAGCGTCATGTTCACCACACCGTAGTAGCAGATCACCACTAATTTTCATCAGAGGCAATTTGACAGCCCGACCCTTTATTCAGGAAGTAGTGGGGCCTCATCTTATTCCATACCTAAACAATGTCAGACCACATGTTGCCAGAGCATCGTTAGCCTTCATGGATCAACATCGCATCAACCGTTTACCTTGGCCACCACGATCACCTGACCTATTTCCAACTGAATATGTCTGGGACATGATAGGTCGCAGGCTCTTGAATTTGCAACACCCTCCACAGACTTTGGCAGCTCTTCCTCACAAAGTTGCAGTAGCCTGGATTGAGATAACACAACAGGATATCGAGCACCTCATTAGTATGATGGCCAGGCGTGTCAATGAGTGTGTAAGAAATCGTGGATCCTCAACACATTATTGAACCAGCTTCTGCAGTCAGTTGACGCATCAAGCTGAAAATTCAATCATTTTACTAGTGAAGGACATTGAACATATATGCCAAAAATTATTAATATCGGATAAACATACGTGGGTATATCCATGTGTCGTCGTTGGGTCAGGTTTATGGGCCAGCCCCTTGCTGTAGTCTTATCTGAATTACAGAAAAATCCACAGTTTCTCCACTTCATCCATGTTTTCTTTTCATGCCAAGATGAGAATATCACTGTACTCAAGTCGAATTTTTAATCCTCTTTTTTACTTTTTAATAAAAATGACTATGAGTGCCTTCTTGGATTGTCTATTGGAAGATATTCCTTCAAGTTAACGTTTCACTTTTTCAAACACAAACTGGCGTCTTTCCTGCTCTGTTCATGCTTGATTAGACCACATAAAGGTACTTTTCATTGCCATTGGGACAAAAAGGAAAGGTAGAAATAAAATATGTACTGACAGAATATTCGTACAATATGAATGAACCGATCTCATTTGGCATGAACAAATTAAGGATAAACTCGTTCAAAATATACGCTACTGGACTCAGTCTCAGTAATTTCCAGCTCTGTTCGTACAAATCCAGATCACACAGTTAGGCGGTTAGTTAGGGTTATTGGGAAGAGGCAATAAAATCCCTACCGGCACGGGGAGCCTCAGCCTCTGCAAATATCCTAGCTGGCGGAATGAACATTCTTGTCTCACGTTTGGTTTGTTTGGCTTGCACTTGCGGCAGGCATGTATTTCCCATAGGTTTGTTGATACCTCCTAGGGCAACACCTGCCGCAGACTGATTGGAGCAGTCCCACTGAGATGGCCGAATGAGCGGGACTTGCCATCGGGGAGGGAGAACCAGGACGCTTGGGGTGACCATTGTAAGGCACCTGGAACAAACCATATACTTTCAGGCGCAAAATTAACGCAATACGCAACATTTGATCAATTCCAAATAATTTTCTCGATTTACCTGAACTTTGATGAACTGTCGACAAAACAAACGATGTTGTTCACCTATATAGCACACATTTGGATGTCCCCCCGCCAAATAATAATACAATTGAATCTGTTGTTTAGAAAACCACTGAAGCCATATTTTTTTCCGAAAACGCCTTCTGCTTCCTCTTCAAATAATACCGCGTAAAAGACGTACACATTAACAACAACAAGATAGTGAATCTAATATCTGAAATGTATCCTGTGGTTGTCTACAGATTTAGAAGTGTTAGTTTACTAGCGTTTAGATTTAGTCCATCCCAGTGGTGTTTTTCAAAGTACACAATTGCTCTACGTCTGGAAATGGAATCGCATTATCCTACTGGATACTGTTGATATACTTGGTAAAGGAAAATTGGAGTAGTTTGAACTAACAAAAATTATACTGCTAAGGCACAGATACTACCTATTTAACTAACTATCCTACCGATTACCATGGGCGCCTGTGGGAATTGTTTTCAACTGAACCGAGACGAGAGACCATGCCTAGATCATGCTGATCAGTAGCCAAGAAGAACGAAACAGCTGTCCATGCTTGACTGTCTTTTGGTCGGGCGGAAAAAGCATCATGCTTAGTTTATTCAATGGCAAGTAGATTACATCTACTTACAGCCAGAATCGTCAGCCATCTAGCGGTCACATGGTGACTGGGCTATTAAACGTGAACTGAGATCCCTAACAGCTCCAACTACTGCGTTCTCCGCGATGGTCCATTCTGGTGTATCTTATTTCGAATTGTTTTCAAATGGGCGTAAATAAAAAATGTATGGTTGTGCTCCTGTACATCAAATACTAAATAAACCTACCTTTGATGATCTTTCGTGAAAAACAGCCTAGAAATATAACACACACCTTACTTATGCCATGACCTACCCTTTCAAAATTATTTTGTCCCAGTGTCGGTGACGGAAATCTTACCAAACGCAACGTACCTGACTGCCGTCTCTGGTAGTACTTTGTGGCTAATGGGAGAATTGAAAACACATCTAGAAGAGTTGAGGTTCTTCCTGTTACCAAAAATCTCAAAGTTGGAAATAGTCGATCATGTGATAGAAAGTTTCATTGCAGCGTCACTCCTTTTTTTTCAATATGTAAAAGGTGGTTAACTTGTCTAGTCCGTGCATAGGTAGTTCCGAAAATCATCTGATTGATTGCCCGTTAGTTAAGTTAATATGTGAATAATTGCCTCTTTTTTCAATCCAATATTACTGTCGTCTTCATAACCTTTTCTTTCATAAAACTTTTAAGCTTTGTGACGTTTGGACCATCACTAAAATTTTGTTAGCACACTTGATACTATATCACAACTGCGTTATAAAATTTTGAGTGACCTTAATGTAATTGTTCGACATGTAACTTGACTCTCTACCCTGTAATTTGTCAAATCAGACACCATTCGGAGGGTTAACTCCACTGATTAATGCGTATCCTCACCAGGTCCTGACATTTACACTCCCTATAACGCCGGCACAAGTATTATGTAAGAAACCTATAAAACATCAAAAAAACCTATAAAATGTCATCTGGCAGACTAGGTAGTTTTTAGGGTGCAAACAGTCATTCCACGTTTGCTCACTAGGATCGTTGTGAGCGTCCATCTATGGAGTAATGGCTCAACTACACGCATTGTTGGTTGCATATGTTTGGTGAAGCCGAGTAGTCTGTAGTTTTCATCTCTTTGAGGAGAATTACGGGAAATCACCACCGCGCCTGCGTTGTGTGTAATTACTGTTAGTTTGTATATGACTTGTAATTCGGCAGTGTACAGTGAATATAATTATTTCCTATCTCTCATTTTTGAAATTCAGCAAATTTGCATATATAATTTCCAGAATGGATAAGAAAAAGTGGATGCGCAACAAATTTCTAGCTTTGAATAAAAAGTAAGCGCATTTGAGACAAGAATCCAATGGAATTATACTAAGTGACATATAAATCCGAACACCCAGTTTAAATGGTTTTATTTTAATAAAATTTTGTATAAGTACATAGTGAAGCATAATAAGTAAATGATAAAAATTTCAAAACGATTGCACTGCTTTAAAGCCCTTTGACCTTTAATAATGTGTGGATGCACCCTGACGTGCTACGCATTCTCCAACGCGCCTAGGCATGCTTCTGATCAGGTGTCAATGTCCTCCTCTCGAAGTGCTTCTAGAGTCTGAGGAGGACGTTGCAAATTGAGCAATCTGATACCCATCATATCCCACACGTGCTCAATTGGGGATAAGTCGGGAGATCTTGGTGGCCATGGTAACAATGTGACATCATTATGTTGAAAGAAGTCTATTGTGACTCTTGCAACATGTGGTCGGGCATTATCTTGTTGGAAAGTTGGATCTGCCAGGGTGTCAAGATAGGGTAAAAGATGGGGTTCTAGAACTTCGTGGATATAACGCGGCGCGTTCATGTTACCTCTGATGAAGATTAAAGGTGACCTGGAACCATAAGCTATAGCACCCCAAACCATAACTCCAACAGTGTGATGAACATGTCTTTCAACAAAAAACTGTGGATTCCTCCTTTCACCACGTCGCCTTCTAACCCTGGCACGACCATCGTGCATGCCTAAACAAAATCGAGACTCGTCACTAAAGACAATACTGTTCCATTCCTGATCCCAGAGTGACCGTTGTCTGCACCACTCAAGGCGATTACGTCGGTGTACTCGAGTTAAAGGGAGGACCCAGTGTGGCCGGTATGAAAACAAGCCAAAACTTCTCATTCGTCGGTAAACACTTCGCATGCCAATAGGTCTTCCGTGTTCTGCAAACCATTCATTTGCAATGGACCTGGTAGTGGAGAAACGGTCCCTTAAGGCCAATAATCTTAGGCGGCGATCTTCACGGTCTGTTCTACGGCGGCGTCCAGTGCCCCTTGCTCTTTGCGTACGGCCTTCTCGAAGCCATGCCTGACAACACCTAACCACAGTGTCTACACTTCTTTGCACTCTAACTGCAATTGTCCGAAAAGAAAGTCCAGCTTCCCGAAGTCCCACTATACGGCCCCTATCAAACTCACTAAGTTGACGAAATCGTACAGGTCTCCGTACTCTAGGCATCGTAACCGATCGTAAAGGATGTCAAGAACCAAAATCCGCCAACGTTGATTCTTTACTGCGGCTGAAATATTCATTTTTAGAGCGTTAGTGAATTAAAAAAAGGCAGTATAAAAACCGGAATGGCCAACTGTTAAGGCTGAAAATTTTTTCACTTGTTATTTACAGTAAGATAAATACAGTCACCAACTTTTATTAAAATAAAACCATTTAAACTGGGTGTTCGGGTTTATATGTCACTTAGTATATTTTTGGCGCCGCCGCTGCAGCTTTTGCACCAATTTTGTACTCTTCCAGTAAACAACTTCGAATTACTGTTTTATTCTTCGCCATTTTCAATTATTAAAGTTATTTATGTAACGATTTTCAGCAACTTTTTATGTGTGTGAGAAAAGAAGGATTCATACTAAAGTAACAACAGGTAACAAGGAATCGCTATCAATCAACAACATCCATGATAATGTGCGATATACAGCAACCGCACGAACTCATTTGGTTGCCTGATATTATTAGCACACAAATCCTCACTATGTATCTATGCATTGTCATTTCCTTCTAGCTGTAGTATACAACTTGCAGCTTAGATCTCCAGTAATGCCATTTCGGAAGCAGATTTTACATCTCATGAGAGCCAAACGTTGATAACTGAAGCCTCATGACGCTTAGGCAACACGTACAACTACAAAAGGTGTCCATCAGCTAGTGCTAAGTTAACATCTTGTAGAAAAGCCTACATAATGTCACAAAAAAACCAATACAATGTCAAAAAAAACGACATATTGTCACTTTACAAATGCCGGGCTGCGTAATACTAATATTGTAGCATATATATGGTCAAATAAGTCGGCCCATGATTTGGAATTTACTAAAATAACCTTTATTATGCTTGATATGAAGCTCCACGTCACAAGCCAAATGTTTCCATAAGATAAGTGCGACTATACCTGCTATTCCAACCAGCCGAGCTATAGTGTTGGCTATAATTTCAGTGTTAATAAAAATCCTACGTCATAGGCAACCAGTAATTATCGTAGTATCGTCAGAATACCATCAGAATCCAAGTAAATTGGTTATGAATTGGTGACCATCTCAGAAGGCCACTAGGTCGAAAAGCGTTAATTAATGCATATACAATACAACTGATTGCCTCTACTATCCTCTTAAGACATCAATTTTAGCTCTAATGCTGTTTATACTGAGCGTTGATGACCTCCAGACCGATGGAGATGTACCGTATATGGTAAGAACTGGTCGATGTGGTTCCTTGATCCTTGAAGAGTCTTACCCGTAAGTAACGTCAATACCCATTATTTCGTATATACTGCTATTCACAGCTGAATGAAATCGAAAGATCATTCACTAATTTTGTACTCACTTCTAGCTCGACAAATTCTCGATCTGTAGTTTTCTCCAAGCACCGAAGTAGATGATGATGTTGCAACTCAAATATGTCCTCTTCTCTGTAGTTGTCGTCAAGCTCGATACCTGATTCTTGAGCTGCTAGCCTGGCTTCCGCAGCTTTCTTTTTGCTGACGAAAGCTGCACCTGATGAAGCCTTAGCGATACGGATGCGGGCCAACCGAGCTTTCTGAAAATGAGAATTGAGTCGCTTAAAATATCATTTCAATGTGTATCGGGAATTAGCCGTTACAATCACGTTTTCGTTAGCGAAAGGTTAATGTGGAACAATTAATATACACGGTGCTCAAAATGCCCGGATGCAGCAAATAATCTCGAAAACCACGAGTCTGAGAGACCTCGAATTTAACCTTAACATTCAAGGTCATTCAGAAGTCAAGTCCATTTTTTGAATGATTCTCGATAGCTTGAAACTGGAAATGGATAACGCGGAAAATTATATATTCGGATGAGTCCTTGACCTTCTGAAAATTTGACCTTTGATGGTCATGTTGAGGTTCTAATGCCTAATCGATAAATAATATAGAATCTTCAAAATAGTCTCTCAAAAAGCGAATCTACCCGAGTATAGGCCTGAGACGTTTCCATGGCTATCTGAAAAAATTTTACCTTTATCTATGACCATGGTCAAATATGTAATCAATAAAATATATTCAAAAACCATGCGTCTAAAAGAAATTACGGCTCGTATCTCTGTTTGAATAAATTGACTTAACCTTGAGCTCATCGTCAAGGAAGAAACCTAAGCCTGCCTTGCGTAGAGTTTGTTACCTATGATTTTCGAGATTATCTTATCGAAAACTTTTGGAGGTCAAGGACCCATCTGAAAAAGTTTGACCTTTAGCTATGACCATGGTCAAATATCTAATCAATAAAATATATTCAAAAACCATGCGTCTAAATGAAATTACGACTTGTATCTCTGATTTAAAAAAGTGACTCAACCTTGACCTCATCGCCAAGGAAGAGACCTAAGCCTGTCTTGCGTAGGGTTTGTTAGATATGATTTTTGAGATTATCTTATCAAAAACTTTTGGAGGTCAAGGACCCATCGGAACGCGAAATCTTCCCCTCTACTCATTTCCAGCAACAAAAATATAGGTCAGTATCCAGAAAAATATACTTGACCTTGAAATGACAACCAATGTCAAGATTACGGCAAATTCAAGGTTACCTTCAGATAATCTGGAAAATCTTGCATGGGCATATTTTTAGACTTTCGAGATTATTTTCAATGTGTATCGGGAATTTGCCGTTACAATCTCGTTTTCGTTAGCGAAAGGTTAATATAAAACAATTTACACGGTGCTCAAAACGCTCGGATGCAGCAAATAATCTTGAAAACCACGAGTCTGAGACACCTCGAATTTAACCTTAGCCTTAAAATTCAAAGTCATTCCAAGGTCAAGCCCATTTTTTTAATGATTCTCTATAGATTGACACTGGAAATGGACAACCCGAAAAATTATATGTTCGGTTGAGTCCTTGACCTTCTGAAAATTTGATCTTTGAGGGTCATGTGAAGGTTCTAATGCCTAATCGATAAATAATATCGAATCTTCAAAATAGTCTCTCTGAAAGCGAATCTACCCTAGTTTGGTATTGAGACGTTTCCATGGCTATCTGAAAAAAATTGACCTTTAGCTATGACCATGGTCAAATATCCAATCAATAAAATACAGGGTGGGCCAAAAGTTCCTGACTGATTTTAAAAATTCATAAGTTTTTCCCAAGTTAACATATTTGATTTTTTTTTCAGATTTACATAGTAGAGCTCTGGATATTTTAGAATGGAGGGACTTAATCTAATCCAGAGAACCAAAGTCGTACAATTTTACTATGACCATAATCATTCGATTGTAAACACCAAGAGAGCTTATCGAAGATGTTTTAAAGTTCGAAACACCCCATCCACTGGGGCTATCCGCAGCATTATTCGGCGTTTTCAAACCCAGGGTTCTATATCGGACCTTCTCCGAACTGGACGACCACGTTTAGCTTTCACTGGAGAAAACATAGAGAGAATAGAGGAAAGTGTTCAGGAGGACCCCGAAACATCGACCAGAAGAAGATCTACTCAATTAGACCTCTCCAGGACATCCCTCAGAAGAATTTTGAAACATTTGCGGATGTTTCCTTACAAAATTCAAATGGTTCAGCACTTATGACCACAACATTATGCACAACGACTAAATTATGCCATTCGTTTTCAGCAATTGGTTAGAGAGGAAGAACATTTTTTAAATCGTGAGGCGCATTTTCATCTGAATGGTTTTGTGAATACGCAAAATGCAAGAATTTGGGGAAGGGAAAATCCAAGGGCTGCACACGAGAGAGAATTACACCCCATTAAATGTACGGTTTGGTGTGGTGTTACCACCCATGGTATTATTGGGCCTTATTTCTTTCAAAATGACGATGGAACTGCGGTGTCTGTTACTGGCGAGAGGTATAGAGCTATGCTTGAACATTTTTTTATTCCAGCGCTTGAAAATAGACCTGATATGTGGTTACAACAGGATGGAGCCACAGCTCATACAGCAGCTAAGTTATTAAAGTTTAAAATAGGTCAGCTTCTTTTGGCCCATCCTGTATATTCTAAAAGAAATTACGGCTCGTATCTCCGTTGTAATAAATTGACTTGACCTTGAGCTCATCGCCAAGGAAGAAACCTAAGCCTGCCTTGCGTAGAGTTTTTTACCTATGATTTTTGAGATTATCTTATCGAAAACTTTTGGGGGTCAAGGACCCACCGGAACGCGAAATCTTCCCCTCTACTCATTGCCAGCAACAAAAATATAGGGCCCTATCCAGAAAAATGGACTTGACTTTGAAATGATAACCAAGGTCAAGATGAAGGTCAAATTCAAGGTTACCTTCAGATAATCTGGAAAATCTTGCATGGGCATATTTTAGACTTTCGAGATTATTTTCAATGTGTATCGGGAATTTGCCGGTACAATCACGTTTTCGTTAGCGAAAGGTTAATATGGAACAATTTATATACACGGTGCTCAAAACGTCCGGATGCAGCAAATAATCTCGAAAACCACGAGTCTGAGAAACCTCAAATTTAACCTTGGCCTTGACATTCAAAGTCATTTAGAGGTCAAGTCCATTTTTTGAATGATTCTCGATAGCTTGAAACTGGAAATGGACAACACGAAAAACTATATGTTCGGATGAGTCCTTGACCTTCTGAAAATTTGACCTTTGAGGGTCATGTCGAGGATCTAATGCCTAATCTATAAATAATATCAAATCTTCAAAATAGTCTCTCTAAAAGCGAATCTACCCAAGCATAGGTATGGCTATCTGGAAAAATTTGACCTTTAGCTATGACCATGGTCAAATATCTCATCAATAAAATATATTCAAAAACCACGCGTCTAAATGAAATTAAAAAAGTTACTCAACCTTGACCTCATCGCCAAGGAAGAGATCTAAGCGTAGAATTTCTTTGAGATCTATGATTTTTGAGATTATATTATCGAAAACTTTTGGAGGTCAAGGACACATCGGAACGCGAAATCTTCCCCTCTACTCATTTCCATCATCAAAAATATAGGCGCCTATCCAGAAAAATGGACTTGACTTTGAAATGACAACCAAGGTCAAGATTAAGGTCAAATTTATATACACGGTGCTCAAAACGCCCGCATGCAGCAAAAACTACGAGTCCTCAAATTTAACCTTAGCCTTGACATTCAAGGTCATTCCGAAGTCAAGTCCATTTTTAAAATGATTCTGTATAGCTTGAAACTGAAGATGGACAACACGAAAAATTATATGTTCGGATGTGTCCTTGACCGTCTGAAAATTTGACCTTTGAGGGGTCATGTCGAGGATCTAACGCCTAATCGATAAATAATATCGAATCTTCAAAATAGTCTCTCTAAAAGCGAATCTACCCTAGTATAGGCCTGAGACGTTTCCATGGTTATCTGCAAAAATTTGACCTTTAGCTACGACCATGATCAAATATCTAATCAATAAAATATATTCAAATACCATGCGTCTAAAAGAAATTACGACCCGTATCTCCGATTTATAAATGTGACTCATCCTTGACCTCATCGCCAAGGAAGAAACCTAAGCCTGTCTTGCGTAGAATTTTTTTGGGACCTATGATTTTTGAACGTGAAATTTTCCCCTCCACTCATTACTAGCAACAAAAATATAGGGTCCTATTCAGAAAAATGAACTTGACTTTGAAATGATGCCAAGCTCAAGATTAAGGCAAATTCAAGGTTACCTCCAGATAATCTGGAAAATCTTGCATGGGCATATTTTTAGACTTTCGAGATTATTTTATCATATCCGGACTTTTTGGACAACCTATGTAATAGCTTAGAAGCCAGCATACTCCTACATCTAGGCTGGTTTGATTTCAAGCATTCTAAGATCCCAACAAAATTTTCAAAAGCGTTAACCCCCACTCGACCCCCTTTAGGGGTGAAATATCCAAATTTCCATCATAAGTGCTTATTTATATTTCATTCTATCAAGGATCCAAATATAAAAGCCAATGTTTGAAAAATTAGTTTCTCCTTAATAACCTTTCATGCCCTGTTTCAACCCCCTCAATTTTAATTTTTGCAGCAAAAGGTAGCCCATGTCCGTCTCCAAGGTCTAATCTATATACATATACTAAAATTCATCCAAATTGGGTCAGCTGTTTTGGGGTGAAAACGGAACATACGTACAAGCAGACAAACATATACAGAGTGACAAAAAAAGGTAAAAACCTACATATATTGAATTCTAATAAAGAATTCAAGAATTTCTTGCACATCGATTTACCTTGCCATGAACAACAAGTAATAAAATGGTAAGGTTTTTCTGTTAAGTTTTTGTGGTGGATGCGTGTATTGTTTGGTGATAAAGAAGCATTCAGTTTTGGTACTTTTACGGTGTCAGTTAAATGTTAAATTTCGTGTAGCTTATTGCGAAGCCGTTTTGTGATTGCTCAAAATGCCTAGAGTGCATAGTACTCGCCGCGGTCCCAGCTATGTGACTTTGAGAGGGGTCGAATTGTCTGGTTGCATGAAGCCGGTGTATGGATAAGAGAAGTTTCTAGGTGGACCAACATATCTTTACGCAGTATACCGCAGTGTGAACGAGCGTGGACTCAGGAAAGCCGAGGACAGCGCGCGAGGGGTTCTGGAC